CATCTAACCTAATTTTTGCTTAAAAAAAAAAAAAAAAAAAAAAAAAAAATCATCACTGAATGGAACTTCAGACTCCCTCTCCCAGCGAACACATTTTCTAACACATCTCTCTCCCTAACTTGAACGCTATCACTTTTTCTTTTTTGTTAGGAGTGGTAGCACCCACAAACAAGGTCAGCTAACCAGGTTAACAGGTCTTTGCCCTTTGCCTACCTCCCCTCCACGCTGTTTTAATTGCAAGAAATATAATAAAGAAAGTGAGAATATTCTCCAGTATCCTACAATAAAGCTCACCTACAGGATACGTACAAAGGATACATACGAGAGAGATCACGTATAGAGCGGTCGATAGCGCCGGATACAGTGTATAAAAGAGATATCCTTTAATATCCAAATATGTAATTAAGACGGAAAAATAGCGTATTGCTTGACAAATCCTCGAAACAAGGCATATTTTACGGTTTTCAAATTGTCGTTTGGGCATGTGTGTGTGTGTGTGTGTTTCGTGTGTGTGTGTGTGTGTGTGTGTGTGTGTGTGCGTGCGTGTGTGTGTGTTTGTTGTGTGTGTGTGTGTGTGTGTGTGTGTGTGTGTGTGTGTGTGTGTGTGTGCATATGTGTGTGTGTGTGTGTGTGCGTGTGTGTACTTGTGTAAGGGTATGTATGTGTATAGAAGTATATATGGATGAATTTGCTGCTTCGCCATCGTTTCAGTCCCTCTGGCCTTCAGTCTTGGGCCGTTGAAGGAACACAGCAACACGGATAGGAACTGAGAAACGATTTTGTCTGTTAATTTCAATCCTGTATTTAATCTACTGCTTAACAGAAGGTCTGGGACACGCTTTCGTTACAGCTGTGTCGCTGGAAATGCTGCATTATCAAACTGCTTATATCTATTTATATGTCATATATATAATTATATATATACATACATATATAATATAATATATATATATAATATATATATATAAATATATATATATATATATATATATTATATATATATATATATATATATATTATATATATATATATATATATATATATATATATATGTGTGTGTGTGTGTGTGTGTGTGTGTGTGTGTACATATAATGTATATAGATACAGACATACACACACATATATTCATATATATATATATATATGTGTGTGTGTGTGTGTCTGTGTGCACGCGCGTGGGTGTGTGTATGCATACGTATGTGTGTGAGTCTGTGTGACTGTGTATACTGAATACTCACACATACAAATAGAGATAAGACATCCAGCCCCCACATCCAGAGCACATAATAGCCATTCATCAGCTCTTCTTTCAGCCTCCACCAGAACACAGGTCCACTTAATGAAGTTGCAGAACCGCGTGAATATGCAACACACTAAGAGCCCTTGCAAAGCCCGGTACTTCCGCCATGCAAGGCCCGGTCATGTATCTTGCATGACACGCAGACAGTACAAGCGAAAGGAATTCTCTTAGGGCTCAGATGCGCATATTTTTTTTCTGTCCATTTTTTTTTTTTTACCACTTAAGGAAAGAGAACAAAATTTAAGCGATGTTTTCTAGGATAAGTTTTTTGTTTTTGTTTTTTTGTTTTTGTTTTTTGTTATTTCTTTCCCATTTCGAGATTTATTTTTCTCGTCTGTGTAATATATTCGTTTAAAGAATGTCTGAATGTTTTAAGAGTGTCAGATGGAAAGGCTTTGAAGCAAAGCGGGTGAAATGGGAATGGAAATTGAGAGAGAGAGAGAGAGAGAGAGAGAGAGAGAGAGAGAGAGAGAGAGAGAGAGAGAGAGAGAGAGAGAGAGAGAGAGAGAGAGAAGAGAGAGAGAGAGAGAGAAAGGGAAATAGAGATAGAGAAATAGAGAAAAAGACAGACAGATAGATAGTTAGATAGATAGACAGATAGAGACAGAGAGGAAGAAAAAGAGAAAGAGATAGAGAGAGAAAGAGTGAGTAGGAGCGTCTGCATGTCTAAAAATAGCTAGAAAGACATATATAACGAAAAAAAAATAGAAATAACAAATATAGCGGAATAAAAAAAAAGTAAAAACAAAAATAAAAGATGAAAGGGAAAGAGAGACATTTTTAGACGGAGATAGAGAGAAAGAGTGAGAACAAAATATATTCTTTCTGTTGAATTACCACCGAAATTATTTCCACCTTTATCAAGATCTTTCATATTCTTAAATCATGTATATAGAAGCGCTTAGGCAAGAACATGCGAAACCAACCCACTCACAAATACGTAAGGTCGATCTTCCCCATCAAAATCCGTTATAACATAGACCTTACACTAGTATATTTGGAAGGCTCTTAGGCTTTATTCTATATTATCTTATTTCGTTTTATTTATTGTTTTCTTTTTTTCGTTTATTGCTGTTTGTTTCTCACTTATTTCGTTCTTTATGTCAGTCGGTTTCTATTTCACTTTCTCTCTCTTCTCGGCCTTTTGGCTAATATCAAAGTGTAGTATCTGTTCTTATCAGCTTAATATCTGATGCGATCCCCATGTGGGATCTATGACACAATTTCTTCATAGTGACTCTGTAAATAACTTGAATATATTAATAAGAAACACTCAACATACCCTTACACAAGCAAAATTATATTTTGACACTAATGGCCTTAAACTAAATCCACATAAAACTCAATGTATATTCATTGGTAGCCGAAAGAATGTAGCTAAAATTCCCAATGACACGACCATAGAATTTGAAGGCTGCTCTATCAAGCCGAACACTTCAGTGAATAATCTGGGAGTACACTTAGACAGATTCATGACATTTGAACAACACGTTGACAAGATACACAGGAAAGTAGTAGGCACCCTAGTATATCTTAATCACATAAAAAATCAAATCACTACTGAAACTCTAGTTCTAAGCATTATTAACTATTGCTCAAATATTTGGGGTTCGACTAACAAAACCTAAATGCAAAAAGTACAAAAATTTAAAAACTTTGCTGCAAGAGTTGTATTAGGTAATATCAGTAAACTTGATCACATCAGCCCGCATATCCAAAAATTAAATGGTTAAAAGTCCAACCTAAATACAGTTATGACACATGTGTATTCATCTACAAGCTCATTCATGGGAGTTATCCGCAATGGTTAATGCCCTTGCAAATTGTAGGGACCACATCAGGTGTCGTGACACGCCAAGTAAATTCTCTTTATGTTAAGAGATCGAGGACTGATACAGGGGCACGACAAATGGAAATGCGTGGACCCAAGCTATGGAACATGTTACCAGATAATATAAGAGTCATTAATAGCTTTTGTAATTTCAAGACGAAATTAAAAGAACACCTATTAAATTATCAATTGTAAATATGAATGTATTTATGTAAAGAATAAACATTGTAATTAATGGAATAAAGTGTTTTGACTTTGACTTTGACTCTCTCTCTCTCTCTCTCTCTCTCCCTCTCTCCCTCCCTCCCGCCCTCCCCCTCCCTCTCTCTCTCTCTCTCTCTCTCTCTCTCTCTCTCTCTCTCTCTCTCTCTCTCTCTCTCTCTCTCTCTCTCTCTCTCTCTCCTCTCTCTTCTCTCTCTCTCTCTCTCTCTCCTCTCTTCTCTCTCTCTCTCTTTTTCCTCCCTCCCTCCCTCATCTCCCCCACTCTCTCTCTCTCTCTCTCTCTCTCTTCTCTCTCTCTCTCTCTCTCTCTCTCTCTCTCTCTCTCTCTCTCCCTCTCTCTCTCTCTCTCTCTCTCTCTTTCTCCCTCCCTCCCTCCTTCCCCCCCCCCTCTCTCTCTCTCGCTTTCCCTCCCTCCCTCTCCCCCCCCTCTCTTTCTCTCTCTCTCTCCCTCCCTCCCCACTCTCTCCCCTCCCTCCCATCCCTCCTCTCCCCTCCTCCCCTCCTCTCTCTCCCCTTCCCCTCCCATCCCTCCTCCCCTCCCTCTCCCCCTCCTCCTCCCCTCTCTCCCCCTCCCTCCTCCCCTCTCTCCCCTCCCTCTCTCGCTTTCCAATTAGTGTGTAGCGGAACCGCGTCTTTTGCTCCGATTTGGGACTTAGTATGCCATCTTGTCATTAAGTTAATTGCAAATCTTGAATCACTTACCATGCCGATTGCACCTGAGAACCGCTCGGCTGGAGGAAGAGGAGAGAGAGAGAGAGAGAAGAGGGGGAGTAAGAGAGATAAGAGGGAGAGATTAGAGAGATAAGAAACGCGTAACAACGGAAGTGTAATGAGTTATAATAAGGTCTTGTGGATGTGGAAAGGAGGACACAGGGAAGGTGAGATTGGAAGGGTATTTAAAAAGTTCTTGAGGAGGTGATGCACGTAGATAGGAGTATCCGGTTTGGTCTTACGCGAACGGGGCAAGGGTTGGGGAAGGGGTGGGGAAGGGGTTGGGGGTGTGAGGGGGGGCAAGGTGTTGGTGGGTGTGAGGGGGCAAGGGTATTGGGGGTTAGGCAAGGGGTTGTGTGAGAAGGGGGGGCAAGGGGGTTGGTGGTGTGAGGGGGCCAAGGGTTTTGGGGTGAGGGGCAAGGGTTGGGGGTGTGAGGGGGGCAAGGGGTTGGATGTGAGGAGGGGGGCAAGGGTGGGGCGGTGGGGGCAGGGGTTTGGGTGGTTGAGGGGGAGGCAAGGGGTTGGGTGAGGGGGGGGCAAGGGGTTGGGGGTGTGAGGGGAAGGGTTCGGGGTGGAAAGGGGTGGCAAGGGGTATTTGGGTGGTGTGAGGGGGGGCAAGGGGTGGGGGTATGGGGGGAAAGGGGTTGGGGTACACTAAAACTGTGTGGGCAAGGGGTTCGGGGGTATTGAGTGGAGGGCAAGGGTTGGGGGGGTTGTGAGGGTGGGGGGCAAGGTGGTTGGGGTTTATGGGGGGCAAGGGGTTGCTGGTTTATGGGAGCGGGGGCCAGGGGTTGGGGTCGTGAGGGGGGGCAAGATGGGTTGTGACGCCGAGAAAGATACTTAAGGGCGTCGTGCGTGCGGATTCATCATTGTTTTTAACATATTGAGACCACTGCTGTTAGAATCGCCGTTTTGTTATCAATGATCCTCCAATTTTTAGTTCTGGAGCACTTTGGCGGTGGCAATGGGTGGGGAGTTGTGAGGGAGGGAAGGATGATTTGGGGGTTTTGTGAGGGGCAGGGGTGGCGGGTGTTGAGGGGGCCAAGGGTGGGGGTGTGAGGGGCCAAGGGCGTTGAGGGGTTGGGGGCAGGGGTTTGGGGTTTGTGAGGGGGGCAAGGGTTTGGGGGCTGTAATGAACCGTGAAGGGGACAAGGGGGGCTTGGGGGTATTGAGGGGCAAGGGGTGGGATGTGAGGGGGGGCAAGGTGGTTGAGGTGGTTAGTCGGTAGTGTGAGGGCGCTAAGTTGTCTGGGTGGGGGGAGGTCAGGGGGATTGGAGGTGTGGGGGCAAGGCCGGTTTTGGGTGTGAGGGGGGGCAAGGGGTTGGGGTGTGAAGGGTGGGAAAGGAGGTTGGGGTGTGTGAGGGGGGGCAAGGGTTGGGGGTGTGAGGGGGCAAGGGTTGGGTGTGAGAGGGGGAGGCAAGGGGTTGGGGAGGTACTGTGAAGGGGGGCAAGGGGTTGGGGTTGTTCGTAGAGGGGGGCAAGAGAGTTGGGGGTCTGTTGAGGGGGGCCAAGGGTTGGGCGTGTGAGGGGGGGCAAGGGGTTGGGCGGGCAGGGTTGGGGTGTTTGTGTAAGGACGGGCAAGGGGTGGGGGTTGTTGTGTAAGGGGCAAGGCGGTTGGTGGTGTGTGAGCAAGGGGGGGCAGGGGTTGGGGGTGTGAGGGGGCCAAGGGTTTTGGGGGTATGTTGTGAGCGGTTGGGCAAGGGGTTGCGGGGGTGTGAGGGGGCCGAAAGGTTGGGGCAGTGTGTGGGGGCAAAGGGGTTGGGATGTGGAGGGGGCTTAGGGTTGGGGGTGTGTGGGCAATGGGGTTTGGGGGAGGTGTCTGGTGAGGGCAAGGGTTTTGGGGGTTGTGAGGGGGGGCAAGTGGGTGGGATGGAGGAGGGGCAAGGGCGTTGGGGTTGTATGAGGGGGCCAAGGGTGTTTGGGTGTGTAGAGGAGGAGGCCAAAGGGTTTGGAGGTGTGAGGGGGGTAACAGCAATCTGGGTCTTATCAAGGTGATGGTCTACATATGAGACTACTTAGGTCGAAAGCTGTGAGGAGAGTAGGCGGGCAAGGGGTTGGGGATGTACGAGAGGGGCCAATGGGGCTTGGCGGGGTAGTGAGGGGATGGCAAGGGCCGTTGGGGATGTGAGATGGGGCAATTGGGGTTGGGAGTTGAGGGGGCAAGGGGTTGGGGTGTTGAGAGGGGCAAGGGGTGTTGGGGCGTCTGTTGAGGGTAAGCGGCAAGGAGGTTGGGGATGTGAGGTCCAGGTGCACAGGGTTGGGGATGTCGAGGAGGGGGCAAGGGTTGGGCATGGTGTTGGAGGGGTGCCAAGGGGGTTGGGGGTGTGAGGGGCTGGGCCAACGTGAGGTTGCTGTTGTGGTTTGTGAGGCGGGAGGGCAAGGCGGTGGGAGGCTGGTGTGAGGGGGCAAGGGGTTGGGGAGTGTGGAGGAGCGGGCCAAGCGGGTTGGGTGTGAGGGGACTATAGGCGTCATAGGGTGGGAGATAGTGAGGAGGGGCAAAGGGGGTTGGGGGTTTCGTGTGAGGCTGTACTGGAAGGGGGTAATTCATTGAACAATTGGGGGATGTGAGAGGGGCAGGGGTTGGGGCGGCGTGTGAGGGGAAGGGGTTGGGGATGGTGAGGAGGGGCAAGGGGGTGGGGAGGTGTGGGGGACGCCGGAAGTGTGGCAAGGGGTTGGGGATGTGAGGAGGGGCAAGGGTTTGGGTGAGGAAGGCGTTGGGGGTTGTGAGGGGGCAAGGGGTTGGGTGTTGTGTGAGGGCAAGGGGTTGGGATTGAGGAGGGGCAAGGGGGGTGGGGGTGTGAGGGGGGCAAGGGTTGGGGATGTTGAGGGGGGCAAGGGGTTGGGGGTGATGTGAGGGGGGCAAGGCGTTGGGGTGAGGAGGGCAAGGGGTGGGGGTGAGGGGGGTCAAGGGTTGGGGGTGTGAGGGGGGCAAGGGGTTGGGTGTGAGGGGGGGCAAGGGGTTGTGAAGGGGTGTTGGGGGGCGTTGAGGGGTGGGCAAGGGGTTGGGGGTGTGAGGGGGGGCAAGGTGTGGGGTGGGGGTGTGGGGGGAGAGTTCGTTGATGGCTTCGTCGTTTAGGTTTGATATCCGTGGATCTTATACGAACGCGGGGAAAATACGCGGGCTGGGAGGGGAGGGGGGTAGGGTAAGGGGGGCTTGTACGTGTTATTATTATCATTTTTTTCTGTGTTTTCGTTTTTATTAATTATGTTTAGATTTATTTTTATTGGAGATTTCGATTCTATAGATGATTTCCAGGTACCAAATATCGCAGAAACGAATAATAAGATGATAAAACAAATATTCTTCGTACACAGAGACAATTCCTAGGAGTTTTGTCAAAAAAAAAAAAAAAAAAAAAAAAAAATCGTCATATTTAAGACATCATACCTTCTCTCTCTCTCTCTCTCTTCCCCACATCTCTTTTCTCTCTCTCCTTTTTTTGTCTCTCTTCACTCTTCTTATCACCAACAAATGGAAAAGACATTCCTAAGAGTGACGCGGCATTTGGAGTAGCGGAAGCACGCCCGCGATGCACGCCCACGACACAGCTCTGATCATGGGATATGTTCTTACAAGAATACACGGTCTGTTCTTGACTTTAATGAACTGGTGGACGGGCGGAGGGAAGGGAGGGAGGGAAGGAGGAGTTAGGGAGGGAGGGACGAAGGGAAGGAGGGGAGGACGAGGAAATATGGACGAACGGAGGGAGGGAGGGAAGGAGGTAAGGAGGGAGGGAAGGAGGGAGGGACGGACAGAAGGAAGGTGGAAGGGAGGGAAGGAGGGACGGAGGGACGGAAGGAAGGAAGGGAGGGAGAGAAGGAGGCAGGGAGGGTGGGAGGGAAGGGGGGAAGGAGGAAGGGTGTGTGGGAGGGAGGAAGGAGGGCGGAGGGAAGGAGGAAGGAGGGAGGGAAAGGGAGGACGAAGAGAAAGAGGGCCGGACGAAGGGAGGGAAGGAGGAAAAGCTTTTATCTTTGAGTTTGAGGGTTTCAATTTTTTGAGTGGGGTTGGAGGGGGAGGGGGGAACGGGGAGGGTAATGGAGCCCTGGTGATGGCAATGTATATCTATCTAATATTGTACATCTATTGTTGTTCTTCTTATCATTCTGGATATCATCGCTATCAGCAAGATCATCATATTCCTTCTCCTCCTCATCATCATTATCTTTCACTTCTCCTTCGTCATCATCCTTCTACTCCTCTTCCGTTTCCTCCTCCTCAGCGTCATCGTCAGTCTCTTCTTCCTCATAATCATCTTCACTGTAACCACTTTTTTCTATCATAAAACACACATACACACACACACACACACGCACGCACACGCACATCCGCACACACACACACACACACATACACACACGCATACACACACACACGCACACACACACACACCACAAACACACACACACACACGCCCCCCTCCCACACACACACACACACACACACACACACACACACACACACACACACACACACACACACATATATATATATATATATATAATATATATATATATATATATATATATATATATATATATATATATATATATATATATATTATATATATATATATATATATATATATATATCTTTTTTTTTTTTTTTTACCAACCAGTTTATCTGCCCCACTTTTGCTAACACTATGACCTCTTAGAATAATCACGAATAAAGCCAAAATTTTCAACTGAACGCCCCCTACGTATTAAAAAAAATGGAAAAGGGAATTAAAAAAAAAAGAAAAGAAAATGCAAGCCGCGTATGGAACTTCTAGATTAGTTGAACAGCATGAGCGAAAGTTAAAGGGAGCGCCGTCGTGTTGCAAAGTCCAGTTGCAAATGAGAGCGAAATTGCATCCATCATCAAACAACATTCGTAGGAAAAATAATAGGAGAAGAAATATAATAGATAAAAAAAAAGAATAGATACACCGTAAGAGCGAACACAAAAACACATCCGTTTTGAACAGTTCTCACCTGTTCACATTTCCAAAAAAAAAAAAAAAAAAAAAAAAAATCCCTCATTGATGGCAGACTCGAACAGAATGGATATCTCAGGGTCTTTTAAGGTCGAAATTGCCCGCGTTTCGAATGGGATGTTGATGCTAAATGGCACCCCGCGCTCGGACTTTGCAAACTGCAGTCGCTGAAAATTAACCTCGGGAATGTAGTCGCCTTCAAATGAGACGAAGGCCGAAAAAAGGGGATTAATTTGATGAATGGGGAGCGAGGGAGACCGGCGAGGACCGAAAGCGGCCGCCCGGAGTCGTGGACTGGCTGGGCGGTTCGGGTCTGCGGGAGGACGTGGCGGCGGGGCTGCCTTTGCGACGGCGGTGGGCGCTGGCGTCCCTGCGCGCACGTCTGTATATACATATATATATACACACATATATATGTATATATATATGCATATATGTATTACATATATATATATATATATATGCATACAGTTATATATATATATATATATATATATATATATATATATATATATAATATATATATATATATATATATATATATATTTATATATACATAATATATATATACATATATATATATATATATATATATATATATAATATATATATATTATATATATATATATATATATATATATATATATATATATATATATATATATATATATATATATATATATATATATATATATATACATATATATATATATATATATATATATATATATAATATATATAATATTTATATGTATGTATGTATATATGTATATACACACACAATGCATATGCGTAATGAAATAGGAAGGGGGAAAGATATTCGGAAGTGCGTGTGAGTGCAAAGGGGTGGGAGGAGAGGGAGAAAGAAGGGAGGGGGAGGATGAGGGTTTAGGGAGAATGGGGAAAGGAGAGGAGGAGGAGGGGAAGGAGGAGGAGGAGGAGGAGGAGGTTGAGGAAGGAGGGGGTGGTCTTTTCTCCCACCCCCCCCCCAACACTCAGGGCTTAAGCCGGGAGAACTCTTAGCGTTGCTCTAAGTAACGGTACCACGGCCGCTTGTCCCCCACCCCTCCCTTCCCCCCGTCTTCCCCCCCCTCCCCCTCCCCTCCTCCGTCTAGGGAAGCTCCCCTTGCTCTTGCTTCGAAGGAATGGCATCGCGGGTCTTCCGAGATGTGGGGGGGGAGAAAGGAAGAAGGGGGAGTGGGAAGGAGGAAGGAGGAAAGGGAATGGGGAAGGAAGGAAGGGGGAGGGGGAGCGAGGAAGGAAATGGGAAGCTAGGATGTGGAAGGGGGAGGGGGAGGAAGTAGGTAGGGGAAGGGAAGGGAAAAGGGGGAGAGGGAGCGAGGGAAGGGAAATGGGGAACTATGAATGTGGAAGGGGGAAGGGTGGGAGGAAGGGAAGGGGGGGAAGGAGAACGATGGGGAAATGGGGGAAGGGAGGGGAAGGGAAGAGGGAGGAGGAAAGGAAAGGGGGAACGATGAGGAAAGGGAAAGGATGGAAGGGGGAGACGGAGGAAGGAAAGGGGAACGAGTGAAGGAAAAGGAAGAAGGGAAAGGGACAGGAGAGGGGAGAGGAAAAAAGGGGATGGATAGAGAGGGGGAAAAGATAGTGATGGATGGGATGTGGGGGGGGTGAGTGTGGGAAAGTTGGGAGTTGGAGAAGGGAAAGAGAAAGGAAGGGGAAGGTATGAGGGATGGGGAGGATGGAGAAGAGAAAGGAGTAAGGGTAACAAAGGGTAAATTGAAGGAAAGGGAAGAGCTAATGAAGGGATGGAAAGTGGGGAAAAGGGGGAGGAGAAAAAGGGATGATGATGGAGGGGAGGGGCAGAGGAGGGGAGGATGGGGGAAGGGAAGGGAGTGGGGGGAAAGGATGAAAGTGGGGAAGAGGGGAATAAATAAGGAAAAGTGGGGAAAGTGGAAGAGCAAATCAAGGAAAAAACATGGATTCTTCTCCTCCTACACCTCCTCTCCCCCCCTCCCACACCACTCCCAAACCTAACACCCACCCTCCCACCATGATCTCGCCCCCACTTCCCCAAACCTCCCAACCCCCTCCCTCCCTCCCCCAACTTCTCCTTCTCCCTCCCTCCCCAACCCTCTCCTTCTCCCTCTCCCTAAACCTTCCCCAACCCTCTCCCTTCTCCCTCCCTCTCCTTCCCCAACCTCTCCCTCCTCCTCTCCTAAACCTTCCCAACCTCTCCCTTCCCTCCCTCTCCTAAACCTTCCCCAACCCTCTCCCTTCTCCACCCTCAAAACCTTCCCCAACCCTCTCCTTCTCCCTCCTCCCTCCTTCCCCAACAACCTTCTCCCTTCTCCTCCCTCCCCTAACCCTCAACCCTCTCCCTTCCCCAACTCACCCATTAACCCTTTCCTCTCCCCTCCCCCTTCCTTCTCTCCTCTCCTTAGCGCAGGACCTCCGAGAAGGGGATTCCCCGGGATTCCTACCTCCTTGGGCCTCCAATCCCCTTACAGCGACGCCTCCAAGACAGGCGCACCAGCC